TCTCAATCTTTACTACTGAAGCGCACCAACAGTAGACAAAAGAAATGCCTTCAGTTCCCCCAGGGGACTGCAGAGCCGGGAGCTCCTGCCAGCACACCCAAACACTCTTTGAAGTCTCCTGTTTTCTCTTAAAAATTCATGAGAATGTTGCATTCTACTCCATGATATAGCTGAATTGCTTTTAATATGAAGATGTTTAAAATTATTCACCTCAAGGAAAATTGATGTTCCCGAAAGAAATATTGTGTTTATCCGGAGGCTTCAAGTATCCTCCTTGGAGAATTATCTACAGGATAAAATCCAAACTCCTGACAAGCAAGGCTCTTTAAAATTGGGCCTTCATAAACCTTTCTGCTTTTCTGTTCCCGCACCTCGGCACACGCTCCAGTGTCTGGGCCGCTGGCACTCGGGTCAGTTCCTGATATGCCAGCTTCTTCCCAGGCCCCATGTGTGTGTTTGCTTCCTTTGGGGCCACACTCCCTGCCTGTTGACAAGCCACTATTCCTAAAGCCTCCAGGGGGATCACACACCACCTCCCACAGGAAACCTTCTCTGATCGCCCCTGACAGATACGATGTGAGAGGGGCCGTGAAAACAGCCTGTGTTTTGGAATCGGAAGGCTGCTGTTCATCTGACTCCAACTCTTGACGGTGGACACATGATCTAACTTCTCTTAGATTTCATTTGTAAAATGGGGAATAATTATGCTGCCCTCAAAGGGCTGTTCTAGGGATTAAATGAGATTCAAGTAATTGTGCAGTGCCCAGCACATACCCACTTCCACCTCTCCAAATTCCCATAGCACTTTATTGATCCCATTGATGGCAAGAGTATGCGTTTCCGTTGTCGTTCTTTTTATGATGGCTTATCTCCCCTAAATAGATCAGTGGTTCCCTATGTCCCCAAAAGCTTCTTGTATTACCCCCATGGTCCCACAGCTTGAAAGATTTTGGTTATTAAATTAAACACAGTTATGAAATAATAGCCTGCTTTTCTCAGTTCTTGATCCTGGTGAGCTTTCTGAACATTGAGAGGGTTGCCAGCCTTTCCTCTCATGCCTAACTCTAGGGACTTGGTGTTGGGCGCCACCCACCAAGGCCATAAACACCTTGAATCTCCAGCCCTGTTTCCACACTTCCCACAGCACCGTACTCAGTGCCCTGTGCTGAAAACACACCCAGTAACTGCTTGTGGCATAAACAAGAAGTTTCACACACACGACGCGGGAGAAGCCCTCTCCCAATCAGCTGGCTGGTGTGCAGAAAGGGGTCATTGTTACGGGAGGCAGAGCTGGAGGCCAGCCCTTCTCCTCCATCCACCCAGAGTGGCACCCCCAATTAGACCAGCTGGCCTCCAACTTCTGTGTGTGAGCCGATTAAAACGCACCCTCTCTCCAGTGTCTGGAAACTCCTGCAAGGAAAGTTTGCTGCCTAAAGTTGGCTTTTGACTAGAGTCTTAATAAGAGGCCTCCGCAGGCTGTGGTTAGAGAGACAATGTCACTTAGAGGAGCAGCTTGAAGCGGCAGTTAGGAGAAGAATTATTTTAATGAATACATTTCCTTTCAATTGTATGGGAATATCAAGATCCCATTAGAATGGGGAAGCAATTAGAACTAATAAAGATGAATGCACAGTCCTCTGTGCGTGCAGAATAACAAGCAGGCCACAAAGGGACTCCGGAGAGCCCGCTCTAATCCAACGAACCAGCAGCCAGCAGAGGGGAAATGGCTCTGTTCAGCCGCTCAAAGCCCTGGCGCCCTGCACATTCTGATCACGGCCTGCAAATGGCGTGAGGTGGGCCTCGGAGGTGGGGGTTGGGTCCCCCCCCGCCCTTGCCAGGCCTCTTGGGGATTGAGATGGGCTGTTGGCAGCCCCTTGGCAACAGCCATTCAGACCAGGGCCCTGGCTCCTGGCCAGGCTTTCGCCCGCCCCTTGCACTGGGCCTCATTGTGTCCAGGTGGCAAATGCCTTCTCGCCAACTCTCCTTCGAGGTTTAGAGAAGGGGTGGGACAGGGGAAGAGGGAGAAGAGGATGAATGAGTAGGGGGCCCTCTGCCCCCTGCCACTCCCCTCCCCCGCCGGCCAAGGTCTGCTCCTCCTCTGGGTTTGGTGTTGTATTACAGACACTGGTGAGTCACTGGCAGCCAAACACAGAAGTACTGTTGCTTACACAATTACTCTTCAAACAGTAACAAACAATTTTCATTACCCAAGTCAGATCGAATCATCCGCCTGGCCATCCTGCCTCAATCCCAGCCCCACAGACGGGACCCAAAGCCTCACACTCTGCCCATTCTGCTCTGACAAAACCAGCCTTCAATTTGTCCCGGGTTGGGGACAGGGACAAAGCTCTTCCTCTGATCTCTCCTTGGAGCCTGCTCAACTGCACGGATGTCAAGCCCGTCAGGAGAAATAGAGAAGCCACAAGCACCTACGCAGCCTGGGGACCGTCAGATGGGGGGTGACATGCTGTTACTCAGCACCTGTGTGAAGGCGTTCAAGAGTTTGGAGGACTCTACTGCCGAGTTTAGAAGGAATCCAGCAAGATAACCCTGGCTCCCCACCAAAGTCTTCACTGGCCTCAAATGGAGTGTCAGTACTTGACATTTCTTTATTTAATCTTTTTTGGCCAGACAGTTTTTTCAACCAGGAATGTGTAAGCTGTTCCGAAATGTCTGTGTTAAGAGGCCAGTAACCCTCATTACTGGGAATTTTCCACCACGTCTCTTTTAGAAAAGGGTCTGTAACATTTTCTATTTGTTTCCTAACGGTGGGGCACTTTAAAAGCATATTTGCATTAATAATCTTGATTGAACGTCAAAATAACTCTGTGGGGATGGGCAAAATAAGGGTTGTTGGGGCCTAAAGATGAGGAAAAAGTGGCCCAGAGAGGTTCAGCATCCTATGCAGGGTCACAGAATGGGTGAATAACGATCTGGCTTCGCGCTTTGTCCCAGGAAATCTCCCGCGCATCTCCACTGAGCACTGGGCATTCCAGGACAGTCCATCCTGCAGTTCCGCTTTTCCAGTGGAACACGCTTCTCCCTTCCATGCATGAAACTGCAGGAAGCACCGTGGGCTTTTGAAGACTCTAGGCTACGAAGGAGACTCTCTCAAGAAGATTCCAACCCAGTACTCACTAAAGTATATGTCTTGCCATCTCCCAAACCAAAGACATACACCTTTCCTCCCTTTTAAAAGCTTAGGCAAGGAATGTATTAAAAGTCTGCCTGTCCGGTTACATGTGGACACAGGAAACGGGAAAACCGTTTGCATCCCTTCTGCTGTAACCTGGGAACATCTAGGATTGGCAAGTGGCAAGGCAGGGTCTGTTCCCCTTTCTTACTCCTCACCACCTCCCATACCGAAAGGCCTATTCATTCCATTTTTTTAAATCCTTTTTTATTTTTATACATTCTGAGGTATGGTTCATTCACTAAGAAATGCATACCTGGCTGGGAGTGGTGGCTCATGCCTGTAATCCCAGCACTTTGGGAGGCCAAGGCGGGTGGATCACTTGACATCAGGAGTTTGAGACCAGCCTGGCCAACAAGGTGAAACCCCATCTTACTAGAAATACAAAAATTAGCCGAGTGTGGCAGCGCACACCTGTAGTCTCAGCTACTTGGGAGGCTGAGGCAGGAAAATCGCTTGAACCTGGGAGGCAGAGGTTGCAGTGAGCCAAGATCATGCCATTGCACCACTCCAGCCTGGGTGACAGAGTGAGACTCTGTCTCAAAAAAGAAAAAAAAAAAAAAAAGAAAGAAAAGAAATGCATAGCTATTAAGTGTACAGTTTGGTAAGTTTTGACAAACATACACCTACATCCACATCAAGATACAGAACACTGCCGTCACCACCAAAACCTCCCGGATTCCCCTTCCAGTCAGCACCAACCCAAGCCTCCACTGCCCAATTTCTATCACCATAGATTAGCTTTGAACATCCGAGAAATGGAATCATATGATATGCATAATCTTTTGTATCTTTCTTCTGCCCCTCAGTATATCTGCCACACTCATTCACGTTGTGTCTGTAACTGGTTCCTTCCTATGAGTAGCAATGTCATTCATTCAGTTCTTAAAATCCAGCCCTATGACTGTGGATTTGTCCCTCAAAACTCTTTTCACTACTATCTCCTCTGCATGCTCCTCTCCACGCATATATCACCTGCACATCTCCCTGGCAATCGTTGTAGGGAGGAAAATATGTCAGTGGACTATTTTATCTCTAGCACTGTCCTTTTAGGTACGGGTGGCTCTCTCTGCCTTCAGGAAAAATAGATAACCAGGCAGTCTTGCTTCAGAGTAGACAGATCTGGGTTTTCATTTCTGGTCTAGCACTTAACAGATGGGTGGTTTGGGGCAGGTGATTTAACCTCTCTGTGACTGTTTTCCCATTTGTAAACGCAGATAATAATATCTTCCTAATAGGGATTTGTGAGGACTAAATTATATTGTACATAAAATGTTTGGCACAATGAAAACTAATAATAGCCTCAAGCTAGACTATCATAAACATCCTCTTGCTTCATTCACATACTTTCAGTTTTTCTAAGTCATATGATACAAATGGGTAGATAGTTTCCAAAGTTTTTAAAAGGAAGATTTCACATTTAGATTTTGAAAAGTCTGTCAGATATGTACTTAAAATAAATAACTTATTTCCTAGGGAAAAAAGTAAAGGCTTGTGTCATTTATTCATTGGCAATTATATATCGAGCACTGACTTGACTATGAAGCTCTTCAAAAGAGCGAAAGACACAGCCCTAGCTTTTAGGATGTTTGGTTTGGGGAGGGTAGCAAGATAAGCACAAAAACATTCTAATACAAAGCATAGTGAATAATTGCCATAATTAACATCTCTGAATGTAGTGGTTAAGAGAATGGTCTGTGGAGCCCTGCCTTACAGGGTCACATCCCAGCTGCGTGATACTGAGCAAGTTACTTAACCTCTTCGCATGTAACCTCACCTGGAAAATGGTGCTAGTAATACCACATACCTAGCAGGGCTGCGGTATCAGGAAAAGGCGGCCCAGAGTGGTTGAGAATCCTGTTGCAAGGTCGCAGAATGGGTGAGGGCTGACTCCTCCTCCACAACTCCACAGTCTAGGCATTCCAGCACAGTCCATCTTACAATCCTCATATTCGATATTGCCTATGAAAATATGCAATAATTAATAGCTAACATTTATTGAATATCAATATGTGCCAAGCACTGTGTTATATGCTTACGTGCATTACTTCACATAATCTCCACAATGCAGTTACGACTGTTATACTCATTGTACTGACAAGGCAACAGAAGGGCAGAGGTTTCAGCAACTTGCCCAGCATTACATAGCTAGTAAGTAGCAAACAGTGTCACAGAAAAGAAACAATCGTCTGTGAAACGGGGGTGATGGTATTACTACTTATATTAGTGAGAATCCAATGAATTAATATTTGAGAAGGGCTTAGAACGGAGCCTGGCACCTAATAAGGCCTAAATACGTGGATGTGAACAAATTGCTAAGGTGATTCAGAGATGGTAACAAATAAGTTCTATGCATGGTGACCAACGAAGGCTTTGGAAAGGTGATGTTTATACTGGGCCCTGAAGAGTGCACAGGATTTGGATAAATGGAGGTGATAGAGAGGGCATTTCAGACAGGGAAGGAAGGGAGGGAGAAGGAAGGGAAGGGAGGGAGGGAGGAAGGAAGAGGGGGAAAGGAAGGAAGGAAGGGAAGGAGGGAGGGAGGAAGGAAGGGAGGGAGGAAGGGAAGCAGGGAGAGAGGAAGGGTGGCAGGAAGGGAAGGAGGGAGGGAGGAAAGGAGACAGGAAGAGAAGGAAGGAGGGAAGGAGGAAGGGAGGCAGGAAGGGAAGGAGGGAAGGAAGGAGGGAGGGAGGAAAGTAGGGAGGGGGGAGGAAGGGAAGGAGGAAGGAAGGGAGGGAATGGGGAGGAAGGAAGGGAGGGGGTGAAGGAAGAGAAGGAGGGGGAAGGGAGGGAGGAAGGGAGACAGGAAGGGAAGCAGAGAGAAAGGGAGAGAGGAAGGGAGGGAAAGAGGGAGGGAGGGAGGAAAGGAGGAAAGGAGGGAGGGAGAAGAAGGGAAGGAGGGAGGGAGGAAGAGGGGAAGGAAAGAAGGAAGAAGGGAGGGAAGGGAGGGAGGGAGCAAGGAAGCTTGCCGTTGGGTGGGAGAAGGGGGCTGCGGAGCTGTGGCAAGGCGCAGGGCCCCACCGTCTGAATCGGATGGTGGCAGAGTTGGTGCAGTTCTTCCTGGTGAAAGACAAGAAGAGTCCCATCACACGCTCGCTTGGATGGGACTCGAAGGGAGGGAGGGAGGAAGGAAGAAGGAAGGAAGGAGTAAGAAGCAGAAGAAAGCTCAGAGTGTGTAAAAAAAGAAAAAGAAACACGTGGGTGTCGTCAAATTTGACTTGGGCAAAAAAAAAAAAAAAAACTCCCGTTTCTTCCAACCCATCCCTATTCCTGCCAGCTGTCCTTCGTCAGTGTATCTTATCATTTTCCTCTTATCCCCATGGAATCTGCTGTCCTTACTCCCTCATAACGATCCATTGAATAATATTTATGGAGTTCCTCTCTGTGTCCGGCACTGCTGTAGGCACTGAGGATACACCCGGTGAACAGGCCAGGTCCCAGTTCCCAGTTTGCACTATAATCATCATCCAAACTTGGATTCCCGATTTCAGCGGGCCGAACTCCAGCGCATCTTCCACGTTACCGCCAGAACAGGAAGACACAGTTCAGGCCTGGACGCTCACGTGTTTAAATCCTTCTGCAGGACCTTTTCCTTCCGTCCAGAATACACGTCCATCTCCCTAGCATCCTTTGCTTACTGGCTCCCAGCCCTCAGTGTGCACTATAGAGCCACGGAAAAGCCCTCAAAGTCCGAGATGCACACGCTTACACGTGGGCACTTGCAGAGAGCAGGTGGGCGGCATTCCATCCCTATTTCACCCCTTGTACCCTGAAACCACTCTGCAGGCCTCGGAGGGGAGAGGCCTGCTATATTCCCCCGCCCCCGACTTTCCGAGCCTAAAATCCAGCGCAGGGTGCACCCCCGTCCCCACCCTCTGGCACTTCCACTCAGAGCAGCCCGGGCACACTCCAACCCATAGAGGACCGGAAGGGGCGGGGCTTCGCGCGGCACTGGGGTCGCCATCCTGGCGGCGGCGGCCGGAAGTGGCCCCTCGCGCGGGCGCGGACTGAGGCTGCGCGCCGCAAGTCCCGGCTGCTGGCGGCGTTGCGGGCGCAGTTTCGACTCCCGTGTGGTGCCGCCCAGCAGCTGCCGAACTCCCTCTGCCATTGCTCCTGGTCCTCCCGCCGCCCCAGCCGCCGTCCAACCCCTCCCCCGGCGCCTGCGCGGCGGCTCGCACACCCCTCGGCCCTTGTACGCGCTCTGCACCTGCCTGCGCGGAAACATGTTGCAGACACCAGAGAGCAGGGGACTCCCGCTCCCGCAGGCCGAGGGGGAGAAGGATGGCGGCCATGACGGTGAGACCCCGGCCCCGACCGCCTCGCAGGAGCTCGCCACGGAGAAGCCTGGCACCGGGAGGGAGGAGGGGGCTACAGAGCCCGCCCTCACCCGGAAAGGCGCGAGGGCCTTGGCGGCCAAAGCCTTGGCACGGCGCAGGGCCTACCGCCGTCTGAACCGGACGGTGGCGGAGTTGGTGCAGTTCCTCCTGGTGAAAGACAAGAAGAAGAGTCCCATCACACGCTCGGAGATGGTGAAATACGTTATTGGAGACTTGAAGGCCCTGTTCCCGGACATCGTCGCGAGAGCCGCAGAGCATCTGCGGTATGTCTTTGGTTTTGAGCTGAAACTGTTTGACCGCAAGCACCACACTTACATCCTGATCAACAAACTAAAGCCTCTTGAGGAGGAGGAGGAGGAAGATCTGGGAGGAGATGGCCCCAGACTGGGCCTCTTAATGATGATCCTGGGCCTTATCTATATGAAAGGTAATAGTGCCAGGGAGGCCCAGGTCTGGGAGATGCTGCGTCGGTTGGGGGTGCATCCCTCAAAGAATCATTTCCTCTTTGGGTATCCGAAGAGGCTTATTATGGAAGATTTTGTCCAGCAGCGATACCTCAGTTACAGGCGGGTACCTCACACCAATCCACCGGAATATGAATTCTCTTGGGGTCCCCGAAGCAACCTGGAAATCAGCAAGATGAGAGTCCTGGGGTTCGTGGCCAAGCTGCATAAGAAGGAACCCCAGCACTGGCCAGTGCAGTACCGTGAGGCCCTGGCAGACGAGGCCGACAGGGCCAGAGCCAAGGCCAGAGCTGAAGCCAGTATGAGGGCCAGGGCCGCTGCTAGGCCCGGCATCCACTTCTGGTGAGGGTTGGTGAAAAGGTGACCAGTGGGGTCCCCGTGGGAATGAGCTACTGTCCTGAGTCATAAGTAGTATAGGTGGGGCAAGGGTCTTATTTCTGTAGAAATCGTATGACTTTAAGGATTTAGATTTTATATCTTAACGTTTTGTTACATTTAATACACTGTTAAAATGCTGTTTGTCGATGGGATTGGCCTACTGTTTCCTGTGGGATTTTGTTGTAGAGTTTTGCTGGTTTTGTAAAATGGATTGAACTTTGTGTTTATACTGTGACTTTGAACAGATGACGCAGTATTGGAAGGCTGTACTTCGATGGTTTGAAGGAACTCCGTAGCATGATCTGGTACCAGGGGAAAATAACTGGTGGCTAGCCTCCCAACACTTGTCTGTTGTATATAAAAGAAAAAGGACTGACATGTACCTCTGTTTGCTTAGCTATTTGAGTATCTAGAGAAACATTAAAATGCAAGGAATTAGCAGTATATACTGGTACACTTAATAAATATTTGTGGAGCATCTTGTTTTTTGCGATGCAATGTGTGGGCACTTGGGGATAGAATACTCAACAAAATAAAGGTCCTACTTTTTTTCAGAATTAGAGAGTAAGTAAATAAACAAGAAATTAACAGTGCAGTGAGTTGAAGGCTGCAAAGGGATACTTAACCAAGCTGAGGTGATTGAGTGAGGTTTGCTTGGGGTTACCTTTAGTCAGACTTGGGGAAAGGGGAAAAAGATGTGGCAGGGGGAAGGGGAGGAAGAAGATGGAGGTAGGGAAGCCAGGCGTTGGGCATAGTATTAAAATGATTTCAGACCCTGCGTGGTGGCTCATGCCTGTAATCCCAGCAGTTTGGGAGGCTGAGGCAGTCAGATTACCTGAGGTCAGGAGTTCAAGACCAGCCTGGCCAACATGGTAAAACCCTGTTTCTATTAAAAATAAAAAAATTTGCCAGGCATGGTGGTACATGCCTGTAATCCCAGCTACTTGGGAGGCCAAGGTATGAGAATCGTTTGAATCTAGGAGGTGGAGGTTGCAGCGAGCTGAGATTGCACCATTGCATTCCGGCCTGGGTGACAGAGTGAGACCCCGTCTCAAAAAATAAAAATGGTTTCAGATTACAGCTACCTCGGTAACAAGCACACTTGACACATAGCAGATCTGGAAAGTACTCTACCTTTGCCAGTGCTCTCTTTCCAGACCAGATGGCTATGGTGCACAAACATGGTGACTCTTAACTTTTTGGCCCTTTCTGTCTCTTTTTCAACCTCTACAGGGTTCCCTCTTCTACCAAACCTGCCAGAGACCAAATAAGGTAACGGTTCTGAAATGTTAAGTAGTGTGGATGAAGGGTACATCAGTCTCCTACTACCAAGAAGTTCCATTTTAAGATTTCTCCCCCTGGTGCCAGGAAGCCCAGTTCCCTCTTCCATGCTTCTACCTGCTGCTTTCCACCTGCCACCTCCCATGGAGGAGACCTGTAAGGCATCCCTCTCCTTCATATTATCCATGGAGAGTCATCTGTAAGCAGCTCTGGCTTCTTCGATGCCCACCACCTTCTGCGGGAGAATAAATCCTGTAGAAAGGGTACTTAGAATCATAGGGAATTTGGAGAAGTGATTCCCAAACCCGAGAGTGGGCAAGGGTGGGAGGAGCATGCCATCCATGAAACCGTTCCCCTGCAACTGCCACAGACAGAAGAGCTGCTTTCTTTTCTCTCGTAGGTTTGTCTTCCAGTTGTATCCAAGTAACATCTCTGAGGATGTTAAGGTTGGCATGGAATACAAACTACTTTGCGACATAGGGAATCTAACAAACCAGGTTAG